ATCTCTTTGCAAACTTCTTTATTGTGCTATGTTGATTGTCTAAGTTACTATCATAAACTAACATCCAATTACTATTTTTAATTACCTTAGGTTATAATTGATATTTTTTATAAAATCTTTTTTTATTCTTTTTCCTTGCTTCTTTCAATCTCTCTATTGCTTCTTCAATATTATTAAGTCTTATTTTTAATTGTTGAATTTATAATGCTAAAATTTCTTCTCTATTGAGATCATTCTTCCAAGGCAATACATCCCATGTAGATACTACATCTTCTATTGGCATTATTGGTTTTTGTCCATATAGTAATTTAGAAGGCATATAACTTGTTATTGAACTATGAGTTGTATGATCTGCCCATAGTACAAATAGTAGTAATCTAGGCCATTCATGTGCTTTGTCATTGCATGCCTTTATTAATGCCTTAACAATATGTGAATGCCTACGCTCACTTTTATCATTACCTTTTGGATTATATGTTGTTGTTAGAGAAAGTTTAATTCCTATTCTATTAAAGAATTCTCGTGCTTTCTTTGCATCCAATTCACTCCTATATGCTATAATTTTTTTAATACAACTATAGCAATAAATAACATCTTCTAATAAAAATTGGCATATATTTTCAGTATTCTTTATTCTTAATGCTTGTCCTTCAATCATATTTGATAAATCTTCTTGTGCAAGTACCAAACACTTCATTTGTCTAAGTTCTATAGGCATTGCTACTAAATCTACCACCTACTTATAATATAAAATCAAAAGATATGTTAGGTGTAACCCATCTTAATGTTGAATATTTGATTACACTTGGCAAGTCTCATAAGATCCTACAAAATTTGCTACGTTTTTGTGCACATCCTTCCACCAATATTTTTTTCTCAACTTAGTAAATGTTGCTCAAATACCTTGATGCTAAATCCATAAACTTTCATGAAATTCTTTAAGAATCATTTGTTGAGCTTCTAAACTACATATCATCCTTTTTGGTACTTCCCATTTCATTTTTAGATGATTCCATAAATATCCATCACATAAAAAATATCCATAGGCTTTCTTATAGATTTTCTTAAATTCTTGATCTGTCCAACTTTCTTGTTGCTTTAATGTACATAAATACTCTCCAACATTTCTATTTATCGTCATAAAAATCTCTTCAAAATATTTTCAATGGTATATTCAAAAATAAAACTTCTTCTTTTGATAATGCATTAATATAAAATTTTGTATCTACATCATCTTCCAAATCAAGCATCTCTTCATCATAACACCTTGTTCTTGATAATATATCTACAAACAAATTTTCTTTTTTTTGCAATGTGTTTAAATTTTGGATTCATAGATTTGATATATGCTATGCACTTTAACATAGTAATATCAAAAATTGAACAACTTATAATTATGCCTAATAAAGGTAGAAAATCTATTTCTATAACTACTAATGTCCCAATCAAGTACTCTTTTTTATTTTTCATAGCTATTACTACACCCCATAATTTTCTTTTGATTTGTGCATATGCCCTTTGCCTAGTATTCAAAATCTTTGTTCCAAACCTTACTACATATCTATTCTCTTATTCATCATCTTATCCAACTGCCCAACCTATTCCAATTGGACTTGCATCAACTGTTAATACCACTAGCCTTCTACCTTCATAATTTACTTTCTTCAAAGTTGGAGGTAAAAAAAGAAGTTCTTTCAATTTTTCTATAGCTTTTATTTATTCTTCTTTCTATTGTAATTTTTGATTCTTTCTTAACAACTCATATAATAAGACTACTATAGGTGCAAAATAAAGTATCCATATATGATAGAAAATACATGCTCCTAAAAATCTTCTCACTTCCATTATATTTGTACATTCTTTCATCTTTTTAATAATATCAATTTTTTTTTATATTTAGCTTGCATCCATATAACCCACACATGTGTTCTACTACCAAAACTTCTTTTACTCTAAACATTGATTTTGTCCCTGATAAGATTAAATGAACTTCTTATAACCATTTTAAAATCTTTTTACAATCATCAATATGATCTGTTACAATCTTCATACATCTCTTTGAATCCAAAGTTTCATTTTTTCTTTCTTCTTCACATCCTTTAATTGATACATCATCTAAGAAAGGTATTTTTATTCTTAGAATAAAATCTCTTAATACCTTATGCATTCCATTCATCATTTGTACCACAAAATTTGTAGCTCCTTGTGGTAATGTATACATTCTGACCAATCCTAATGATATCTTCATAGTTGTCAAATCTCTACTTTGCATTGCCAATTGAAATTGTTCATATCATGAATAAAGATCATCGATTGAATGAATTTTTCTTCCATCAAATGCTTCTACAAATTCATCTATAATTGGACTTAAATCCATATTTTTAATAGTCACTTTATTTACAGATTATATGTCTTGTATAAATCTCATTGTTCTATTTTTCTTTGGTACTGTAAACCATCAATTAGAATAAGGTGCCACTAATGGTTCTAAAATTCTCATTTTTATCTTTTTATTGAATAAATCCAAAAACTTACATAAATGTGCTCTTGGTATTGGAATTGGTCACAAATTCCATAGTTCATGAAGAATAGTAAAAATAACCATAGGTGCTACAATACTTAGATCAATACATCCAATTTCATGTGTTTCAAATGCAAAAGCCTTTCTATGACGTGAAAGCATATTCTTATTATATTTTTCTTCATATTTTGTCAAAAATCCATCACATCTAATATTTAATCCATGTAATGTAGCATCCATAAATTTATGCCCTATCTTCCTTGGATCCTTTAAATTTGGTTGTGTGGATGCTCCACTTATCCTTTCTTTACAATTTGATGGTAGTAGCAAAGCCACTGGTTTGACTTTTTTTGCTATTAATTTATACTTAGTTTTAATACGTACCTCTTGGTGACTTAAATTTTCTATAAATCCTTGAATTTTATCATAAAATTCTTTAGAACACACATTAATAATTCTATTCTCTCTTTGTAATCCACATTGCAATAAATAATTTAATTTACCTATAGTATTTATAAAACCTATTTCTTCAAATGTTCCTCAAATAAACTCATTTTCAACCAATTCTCTATTTTCTTTCAAGTTTTGTTCAATATTTTTAATGTAATATTTTTCCAACCTTTTCATCTTATCAATAGTCTTAAAAGGTAATAAACAATCTTATGTCATTCCAATAAGTCCAGTAGATAATATCTCTTCTTATAAACTAAGCGAGAGCATTTCTCTCACTAATCCATTGCAATCTCGCCTTATAATGGTAAACAATAAAATTCCTCAAGGTCTTCAAATTTCGCATTTGATAATGGCTTTTCTATCAAATTATTATGATTTTTTTCATGATTAATGCAAACAATTAAAAATTATAATGCATTCATTCCATCTTGGCTTCTTATTCTTGCATAAGCTAAATCTTCATCTATTACTTTTGTTTCTATTCATGTGGCAATAATATATGGTTGTCACATTATAATAGGATATGTAAATATGTCTTGCACAAAGAAATTTTGTTCATGAATAATATCTCTTATTGTCACCTTCATATTTGAATAAGCTTCATACAAATCTTCCTTTGAATTGTTTGTTGCTCTTATCATCCAATGATGTTTAATATCAATAGACCATTTTTTCTTCTAATATAATTCATTTGACATCAAATTGATTTAAGAACCATGATTAATCAATGCTACAATTGGTTCCTCTAAATCTTCCAATTTTATCAAATTTTCTTTAGTAGTTCTTGTCTAATTACTTCTAAAATAATGATTAGAAGCTTGAATGACATTGTCCTTTTGTGTAAATCTTACTTGCAAGACATCTCCAAAATTTTGCATTTCATGTTCTTCATCTTCATTGCTTTCTATTACTCTTATTTTTTGTGCATTTATACTTTGTATTCATTTATATTTATATATATTTTAAAAATATAATTTAAAATTTTCATAATAATATAATAACATCTATAATGTTTCTATGGTTAATATTTATTATTTGGAGTTGTAGAAAGATTTTATTTGGTATGTAAAACTTAAAATTTTATTCTATGGTTGAATAATAATATTATTATAAAAGAAAAATTTATGTAGTTATACAAAGTAAATAATAGATACAATTGCTATGTTATGTCGTATACAAAGTATTTAAAATATATAAATGAATACACACACACACACATATATATATATATATATATATATAAACATTCATTTAATTCAAAAAACTTATTGACATGATTAAGAACGAAATTGATTATGTTATTATTTGTATTAGCTATATGAAACAACCAATAATAAGGTAGAAAGATTTAAAATGAAAATTTCAAAAATATGTTTGTTAGCCTGTATTGTAATTATCAAAAAATTCAGTACCTCAATGAAATAATATGTATATATATATGTATATACATACATATATATATAGGAATATTTATTAAAAAATATTAATATTTTAATTTTTTTTAAAATCACTTAGAGATTAAAAAATTGAATACTGAATGTCAGAATAATAATGTTTTTTTAATTTTTTATTCTTTGATTTTCAAACAAATATATACATATACATATATGTATGGAAACTACACACTTAGCCAGAACTATAATGACGCAACAATCATACATATTCTGTGGATACCCGCATTAATTAACGTATTTTTATCCACATTTTCGTCACAAGATATCTTATTTGATTTAGTAGAATGCTGGTACACCCACTCATAGAGCTGGCCCCATCCAAATCCCAGCGATAAAGTACCTACAAACGAACGATATCGTCGTGTAGGGCCAACGAACGAGTGAGGAAAAGTAACGATAAAGTAAGAAAAAGGAAACGGTCAAGGAAGCAAAAGACTTATCCTCTTCCACTTGACCTAGAAAGGTCACCTGCTCCAGCTCCTCAGCCGAACACGCGCGGCTATTCCACACCCTCCGATCTTTCACCCCCTCCCTGCATTAGAACCGTCGATGTCGGTAGAATGCAAGAAAGCATGGTCGCCATGGTTGATTTGTCGACGTCGTCGTTAAGCTTGTCGATCCGTTGCAGCATTTATTTAACGTATTTGCAGACTATTTGCGGTGATTGCGGTTTTTTGGTATTTGTTTGGCAGTTGTTCAAGAAGAGGAGGAGGGTAAGGAATCGAGGGCGGTGTTAGGAGATGGCGGTGGTGGCATGCGGCTCTTGCCATTGCTCGCCGCTGTCGTTGAAGTCGGCTGCCTCGTCGTCCGCATCCACATCTTTGAGTATTTCGGAGCTTGGAGTAAGGAGTGTTAGAAGAGGTGGAAGCAATTGCCGCATTTACTCACCCGCATTTGAGCTTCGGGCACCGCAAGCATCGGGATCATCTCATGGATATGGAAAAGATGAGCGAAGTTGCAGTGCAAGGCGAATTGCACTCTTTGGAATACAGACCCAAATTCGTCATAAGCTCGGTCCTACTCATGCCCTAGGTTCCCTTCCCGACCTGGACATGTTTGACGACCCAAGGTGAGCTGAAAACTATAATTAGGTCTTGTTACCTCAAAAAAACTTCGATTACAAATTTGTCCGAATCTGTGTTCTTGTAAGAAGCATCTGAATGTTATCAGATGCGTGATGCACTCATTCAAGAAACCTTTGTGAGGGGTTTAGTGGAGTTAGGCTAGGTCTTTCTGCCACGTGCGTTTCTTAAGAGATTGGAGCACATGTGGTTATAATTGAGCTTCGGATCCTTTAACCACCAAGCGCTGGTTACGTATAGCTTTTCTGATTTTTGATCTTATGTGAATTTACTGTATTTTACTTGATGCAGTATTTATATTTTATACGAGCCATAAGTTTTGTTTAAGAAATACTTAACGGTTGGTGCAGATCATTTGGTGAAGATTGTAGGAACACTTCATTGGGAGCCGCAACGACTGCAGATCCAGCAAATCCCTTCCGGTGGCGGAGAGTTCTTTTGAAAGTTAGCGGGGAAGCTCTTAGAGGGGATGGATTACAGAACATTGATCCTCAGGTGCTTAATTTCTTCCTTCAGCCACGGCTTATCAAATTAGCAGTAGCATTTGGTCATGTCTATCAGTGCTCTTCCCACTGCATACGATCAAGTTTAGATTCGTTTATATAATCGTAACCTTTATACTTCCCGTCTCTGTTGAGTAACCTGAAATTTGGTTTAAATTGGTTGGCAGGTCACAATGTCGATTGCACGAGAAGTAGCAGCAATAACTCGACTTGGCTTGGAGGTAATGTGTTTCATGATTTGCTTATGGAGCATGAGAACTTGCTCTTCTTTGATTGAAATACACAGAATATCAATAATTCTCAATAGTAGGCTAGTACATTTTCCTCTTCACACGCATATGATGAAATTCAAGCCAGAAGTTACTATCCTCATAAATTGTGTGCCGACTTTATGTCGCAGGTGGCTATTGTTGTAGGAGGTGGCAATTTTTTCCGGGGAGCACATTGGGCTGGTGCAAGTGGACTCGATCGGGCAGCAGCCGATCAGATCGGGTATGATATCATTTTTCACTTCGTTAGAGTGGATCTGGAAAAGTATGTTGATGAAGTGAATGCCCCGCGTCAGAAACAGTTGTACTTAAGCCCCTTGTATTGTGAAGCTTCTGTATGCGTAGGTACTCCTCTTAACGTCAAAAGTAATCTACTATGAAATCAGTGATGTATCAAAAAAATTCATCTCGATCATGTAAATTACGCTGAATAACCGAGCATATGCTGTTTGTCATGAGTTAGGGGCACGTCTAGTGGAAAGTTGAAATAAGCTGATTTTTCGATGTTGAATCTGGGCTGGGTGTGCCCAGAATGATGGCTACTGTTATGAATGCCATATTTCTTCAGGCTTCCATGGAAAGTGTGGGTGTGCCAACTCGTGTTCAAACAGCGTTTAGAATAGCTGAGGTTGCAGAGCCCTACATCCGCAGGCGGGCTATTCGTCACTTGGAAAAGGGTAGGGTTGTCATTTTTGGTGCTGGTACAGGCAACCCCTTCTTCACCACAGACACAGCAGCTGCCCTTCGTGCTGCCGAAAGTAAGTCCAACTGCATCAAACTAGAAAGATAGACTTTTGCAACTCATGTCAGTCTTAGTTGGATCTAGCCCAGTTGAAGGATGATGCATAATGGGAATGCACAAGGGATTTGTGCAACATTTTCTATCATCAGGCATTTCACGGTTACAAAAAGGCCGTAGGTTGTGAATCTCTAAATTAAAGCTAGTCAAACAACCTAAGCCTAGATTACATATGGGACATGAACCTCTTGCTGTACACCTGTTGTGTCATTCAGCGTTGTTCAGATTTCTTGTAGAAACTTATGTCTCACGTGTAAACTAATTTTTTGAAACCAGTTCATGGGAATAGGATTAAGTGAAGATGAAATTTGGGTTGATTATGGCCCTTGATCATAGGGCTTGATCACTTCACTTGATTTACGAGTACTGTATCTAATGAGTTTTTGTTACCCAATGAAATATTGGTATTGTTTGTGCCCAGTTGGTGCGGAGGTGGTGTTGAAGGCTACAAATGTGGACGGTGTGTATGATAGCGACCCTAAGAAGAACAAAAAAGCTGTTTTACTCGAGCATGTCTCCTACAGAGAGGTTGCTATAAAGGGCCTATCTGTCATGGACATCACTGCCATCACACTTTGTCAAGAAAATCGCATTCCTGGTATCAACTCATTCATCATTTCTTATTATATTAGTGACATTACTTCACAACTAAAAGAATTTAAGCTGATTGTATTGTTGTATAGCTTGATTTATTAAGTATGTCATTAGCACCCTGAAAAATGTGATAACTTTTGTATTAGTTAATGATGGGATAGATTTGAGTCTGATGTATTTGATTTCCAGTCACTTTATTGGTGCAGAATTTTTCTACATTCAGATGTTTCTAGAAGCAGTTTTAATCGGATTGAGTTTTTTATTTAGCTAAATCTTGTGTTGTTGGCAGTGGTTGTGTTCAATTTGAGCAAGGCAGGCAACATCTCCAAGGCACTAAGTGGTGCTAGAATTGGGACATTGATTGATGGTTATGGTTCAGGAAATCAAATGTTGTAGATCATTTTCTGTATATATGGAATATTACCAGGATTGGCTAAACATATCTTGGATCTCTTTTAGAAATTTATGAAAATTCATTTGTGCCCACGACATCAGGGTATCCTAGCATATTTCGACAGAAAGTAATATAACTTAAAGAGTTTTGCCTAAAATTGTGCTTTTAGCTCCAAAATATTTGTTGTTTCTCAGATTTTACCGAAGTAATATATCTATCAAATACTTTCATTGGCAAACGTCACTTCCTTTGCTGTAGCTGTTCAAAAGTATTAGTTTGTGTTGAGAATGTTTAGAAAGACACAAGAGTAGTAGTAAGTAATTCATATTGTAGCTATAGTATTTATTGTAGACTATAGTAAATATCATGGAGAGCATCTTCTACATTTAATGCTCTCCACACTCTTTCTTGCTCATCATAATATTTACATAATATAAAATTTGTATAGAATTATGATCTATACTTTTTTGTAATTTCATAAGATCAACAATTGTTGCTTCATTAAAACCTTATCTAGGAAAATCTTATTGTATTTGAGAGCAAAACCATAGATTAAGGACAAAAAAGTATAACATCATTTTCTTTAATTACTTAAAGAGTTTATTAACTTTCTTATTCAAGAAAAGCAAGTGGCCTCATACCAATGCCATAAGTATGACAACAATGGTTGCATAATGGGAGAGCTTTGGTGAAGAGATCAACAAGATTATTTATAGATTCAATTTTTTTAATTATAAGTACTTGATCAGTAATCAAGTCATGGATATAACTAAAATACTTTGGATCAATATGCTTTGTCCTGTCGCCTTTAATGAAACCAATTTGCATCTGTGTAATACAAGCACTACTGTCTTTATCACTATTGTCTATAATACCATAGATTAAGAACAAAAAAGTATAACATCATTTTCCTTAATTACTTAAAGAGTTTATTAACTTTCTTATTCAAGAAAAGCAAGTGGCCTCATACCAATGCCATAAGTATGACAACAATGGTTGCATAATGGGAGAGCTTTGGTGAAGAGATCAACAAGATTATTTACAGATTCAATTTTTTTAATTATAAGTGCTTGATCAGTAATCAAGTCATGGATATAACTAAAATACTTTGGATCAATATGCTTTGTCTTGTCGCCTTTAATGAAACCAATTTGCATCTGTGTAATACAAGCACTATTGTCTTTATGCAAGTTAGTTGGAAAATCATCATATGAAAATCCACAAGTTGTTTGAATGAATTTATCAATTGATCGCAACCAAATACATTCTCGAGATGCTTCATGTAAGGCAATAATTTCTACATGGTTAGATGAAGTTGCAGTTATTGTTTGTTTTATTGATTTCCATGATATTGCAACTCCATGTCTTAAAAATACATATCTTGTTTGAGATTTAGCTATTGCAGCATCAGATTTATATCCCGCATCACAATATTTAATCAATTTTGGATTTGCAGATTGCAAGTAATATAATCCCAAGTCTTCAGTACCTTTTAAATAACGTAATAAATATTTGATGCCATTCCAATGTCGTAGTGTTGGACGTGTACTATGACTTACAAGAACACTAACTGCAAATGCAATATCTGGTCTTGTAGATATAGCCAAATATAAAAGTGCTCCAACCATTGTGAGGTATGGATATTCATTTTCCAATATTTCCTCCTCCTCCTCGCATGGACGGTATGAATCATGACTATCACGACCACGTCCAACCATTGATGTGGACAATGGATAAGCATCAATCGTATTGAATCTCTACAAGATTCGTCTAATATACGTTAGTTGGTAGAGAAAAATGCTACCATCTGTGAATGCATAATCTGAAGACCAATGCAAAAAGTTATTTTTCCTAGCATTTTCATCTCAAATTCACGTATGAGTAAGTTAGTAGCTGCAACACATGTAGATTTAGTGCCCACTAGGTTAAGATCATCAACGTATACAGCGATGATCACAAAATCAATTTTATCTTGTTTGATAAACAAACAAGAGATTAGTAGATCACTTACAAACTTATGTGTAATTAAATAATCTCAAAGACGTTGATACCACATGCATCTGGATTGTTTTAAATCACATAAGGCCTTACATAATTTAATACCACAATATTGTCTTAGAGTAGGTCCATTTGGAGTTCCTGTTTCTAAATCAAGTGGAACTTTCATATAAATATTTGCATCAAGAGAACCATATAGATATGCAGTTACTACATCCATCAGATGCATCTCAAGGACCGCATAAATTGCCATTCCAATAATATATCAAAATGTAATTGAATCCATGATTGAAAAATATGTAGATTCATAATTAATGCCAAATTATTGAATAAATCCTTGAACAACAAGATGAGCTTTATAGTGGATTATTTGACCGTGAGCATCTCGCTTGCATATTAATACCATCTTATATTCCACAGGGCGAGATGTAAGAGTGTCTACAATTGGACCAAAGACTTTCCTCTTATACAAAGAGGTATACTCTTCATCAATAGTAATTTTTCATTTTGATGAATAACAGCGACACATTGCTTCTTTGATTGTTTGAGGTTCAAGATCATCTTCCTTGCAAGAAAAGGCTTCTATAATCATACATGCAAATGATTCATCTACCATAATAGATGGTCTATCCCAAATATCATCTATAGCACAATACAGAATAGATAATTCTTTACTCAACTTGTTTTTATTCCTTCCAATTCCAAGATTGTTTTTCATAGGAATTGAAGGTACATTATGTATGGATGTATCATCATGAATTGGTAGTCCTGCAGGATGAGTGATAATTTCTTGAGAAATAATACCAGGTTTAATCAATTTTATAGCTTTTTTTTGACGTGGTTGCTTATCTGGTCTACGAGTTTTTTTAGTTGTTGTTGTTATAACTTGAGGTATTGTAGTCAATGGCACTGCAATCTAAGCCTCATTAATAAGAACTCTTGTAATTTTAGGTGCATCATTGAAGCCATTAGATGTTTCATCTATGATCCATTTTTGATGCAAAATCTTAGGAACTTAAGTTTTTGCCAAAGGTGTCCTAGGATCGAGATTCATTGTAAACATTTCTAGTGCTTCAAATATGAGTACTTTATTTCTTTGTTGATTGGATACTCCTCTTTGAAGTGATGGGGATACATTTTCTTCAAAACGACAATTTTACTAACGTGCACGTAATAATGTGCCAGTTGATGGATCAACAATACAAATAATGCTTGGTGAATTAAAACCAACATATATGCCTTCTTGTCGATGAGCTCCAATGGTACGTTGTTGAGGTTTTGGTACTAGAATCCAAGCATGGCAACCAAATATTCGTAAGTGAGATATATTTAAAATACAACCTGAAATGAGCTCATGTGGTGAAACAATTTCAAGAGAAGAAAGGCGGAGGCATATTAATACTGCAACATATAAAACTCCATGACTCCACATAAATGCAGGTAAATTTGCGTGAAGGAGGAGTGGCCACGTAATGAGTTGTATACGCTTTATAAATGACTTTGCAAGTCCATTTTGAGCATATTTATGTAGAACACAATATGTCAACTTAATTCTTGTTGTAGTATAATAGTCTTCAAAAGACTTTGATGCAAATTCTTTTGCATTATCCATATGTAATTTTTTTATAGGATAATCAAGAAAATATGCCCGAAAACAAATAATCATAGATATAAGATTGGCAAACATCATGTTTTGAGTTAATAATAATGAAACATGTGATTGTTTACTTGATGCATGAACAAGGACTAAAAAATAATGAAATGGTCCCGATATTGGATTAATAGGACCACAAATATCACCATGCAATCTTTCAAGCATTGGTGGTAATTCTTATAGAAGTTTCCAAATTGAAGGTCGAGTAATCATCTTACCTTGCACGCATGCATGACATAATTCCGTAGAGTCTACATTTGCAAGCTTTAAATTGTGTCCAGTTATACATGGAATGATCTTTCTAAATAATGTAGATCTTGGATGTCCCAATTGTCCATGCCAGAGAGAAGCACAACTCTGTGTGATAGATGATGAAAAATTAAATATAATGGGAGGCCAAATTACAATTCAATATAAACCATTTTTTATAGCAAAAGCTTTTTCAACAACTTTATGGTTCTTCGCAAGAACCAAAACCTCTTTTTTATTTAAAATGGCAGTCAAGAAGTGATAACCATTGATACGCACATCTCGATAGCTGATTAGACTTCAAGATATTGAGGGTGCAAACATCACATATTTATATTTTATGATAGAATCCATAGGTAATTTTACCATCATTGTACCTTCTTGAAAACAAAATGCATTTGCTCCAGCTATAGTCATCATATTTTTAGTTTGCCAAGTTGAAGTTTTTTCAATAAAAAATCATCTATCCCGTAGGATAATATGTATTATTGTAGAATCAATGAATACATCATTTGATTCATGATTAGAGGTTTTGTCATTCATATAAGCTTGTAAATCATCAACACCAATTGAATCCATCGATGCATCTATGGTATGAACTTCACGAGCCTCAACTCGTAGTTTCTTATTTTTTTGGAATATTTTAATAAAATATTTTGAAGTACGATACACATGTGCTAAATGTCCAATTATTTCACATTTATGGCAAGAATAATTTTTTCTAATTTTTATTTTTTTATTATAATTAATAGTAGAACATTTATTCTTTCCATATGGGTAGAAATGGTCATGACTATGACTACCTTGATACTTATGAGCACGTTTGCCATATTTATATAATTTTTTCTTAGACTTTGAAATATTAAGTGCATGAGATTTTGAAATTGTGGTTCCAATAGAATGAGCTTCTGCATCGTGCAAGAGTAGCTCATTTTGCTTCTCTGTAAGAAGTAGATAGGACATGAGATCAAAATGACTCTAAAATTTCATGTTCCTCTATTATTGTATAAGTAAAGCAAATATAGGAGGAAATATAGAGAGAATTTTTTCAATCATTTCTTCTTCAGAGATGTTTTGTCCACATAATTGTAATTGTGAGACAATACTATACATTTCACTATTGAAAGCATTTAAATTTAAAAAATCCAAAATATGTAAATGTGTCCAATTATGACGTGCATGTGGAAGAAAAATGGTCTTTTGATGATCAAACTTGGATTTAAGATTCTTCTAAAGTCATGCAGGATTTTCCATTTGCAAATATTGATGTTATAATGTAAATACAAGATGACGACAAAGGAAAAGAAGAGCTTTTCAACGGATAGTAAGAGGAATAGAAATA